AAAAAAAAAAAAAAAGATGTTCAATATGTTGGGACCAGCAGTTAGCGTAATGGCTATGTTGCTGAACTCCCATGTAGCCAACTGTGGTTCAAGTCTCGGACCTGGTGGCTTAAACTCATGCCGGGCGTGTGTGTGTGTGTGCATGCCCATCCCCCCTGAGGGTGATTTCTCGCTTTCTATCTCTTTCTCTGTCTCTGTCTTTCCGGCGAGCGCACATGCGCTATAGCAAAAAAAAAAAACCTCTCTGAAAAAAAAGATTTTCAATATGTGCCTTCCAAATAAACAGTTCTTTCAAAATGAACTCATCGTGTTATTCTATATCCTGATGTCAGTTGCTTTACCCCCAAACATGGCTCCAGATCTGGGCCAAGTCTGCCTTTCAACTTATAAGCTGCTGAAGGGATGCATGTAGAACCGGCTCATCAACTGGCTAAGCCACTTTTCACAGAATCTAAGACACACCTCAGAGATGAAGAAATATGAAGGAAAAAAAATCAGCTGTCTTAAAGTAAACAATAGTGACAAGCAATATATTAATACATCTGGTTAAGTTTCTTCTAACTCTTGTTCCTTTTTATTTTTTAATTTGCCAGAGGGTACATGTGTTTGCCAGAGAGAGAGGAAAAAGGGAGAAAGCATCCCCCATTGGGGAATGGTCATGTCATAATCCCTTCATTTCTCCAACCTGTGGAAATCTGGGGCAAGCACATTTTTAAACTCCAAATTTATCTAGCTTCTAATGACACAGACTGAAATTTTGATGTAAAAAACGAAGAGATTAAAAAACTTTTTCTCTAGTCACTTGGAGACATATTCTACCCACTAAGCAGTCATTGTGAATATCAGAAAATGTTTAACCACTACAGGCTTTCTCTGAAAAATGATATTAACTCTCCTATGATGCCTTATTGAAAGGCTTTTGTAAAGGCCACAAGAAACAGGGTTAAGTGTTTTAGAAATTGTGAAATCAGAAGACAAAACAAGTTATTTTCCATTTTCAGATTAAGAGCAAATACTGTACTGGAATAAACAATTTATAAATGTCCTTTTACACCTGAAAATCATGTGTTAGCCAATAACTAAGCCTGTCAAAATGTAGAACAAAAAATATTTGTGATCCACCAGATATATATTTTGTAACATCTCTGAAATTAACAAGGTCACATAGTTTTATATACTGCAGTATCACTTGTCAGAAGAAATAAAAGCAGCAATGTACATATCCACTATTAGAGGATTAAAGTGTACAAAATCACTAAAAAATAAAAAAACATTGGGACCAGCAGATGGCCTAATCGTTATGTGGCTGGACATGTAGTCAACCACAATCCCAGACCTGGCAGCCTAAAACTCACACTGGGTGCCCGTGTGTGTGCCCAAAATCCTCAGAAGAATTAAAAAGAAGACAGATTTTCTGTCTCTTTCTGCGAGCACACCACCCAACAGCAAAAAGTCTCACTCAAAAAAAATAAAAAACCATAGGCACTAAAATTAACATGATATATCATGTACTACTCTGAAAGATGACTAGACTATCAAGTAATTTATCTAAGACATTTTAAAACACATCTGGATATGCATTAAATAAAACTGTTAGCATGGTATTAGATTATTTCTATAATTAGTCTTACATATCAGTTTTAAATTTTAAGGACCTATCATTTCTACTAAAAAATACTCTTTTAAAAAAGTCTCTTTTATTCATGATAGAGAACACATGCACAAAATGGGAAGGAGAAGGGCAGAAACAGAAGGTCTTATCATGCCACAATCCCCTTTTTCTCTATCCTCCAGCTTATCAGGATCCTGGGCACAAGTATACACATCCAGTGTGTTTTCAGGCCAACCCAGGGTCAAATACATGGTCAGCAAGGTGGCTTTCACCATGGCAGTTCAGTTTGCTGCCAACTACATCATCAGGATGGGTCTATACACCATAATTTCTTAAAGCACGTAAACACAAAAGTTATGTTATAGAAATAGTCTTGGATATGCAATACATCTTACTAAACGATGCATGCTTTCACCTTCACATTCCAGACGTTATTTTCTGGCAATGTACAAGTTATTAGTAACAGTTACATTTTTTAAAAATTCTCACAAAATTAACAGGCTAGGGCCAGTCAGTGGCATGATGGTTAAGGAAGTTGGATCCCAGACAGCTGACTAAATAGTTTGAGATCCTACATGGTAGATTGAAAAATATGCCAGGTATGTTGTGCACATGCCCAAAATCCTATGAGGAGAATGGAGAATAGACTGCGGCATGGCCGTTGCCCTGGGGCGGGCTTCCTCGTTTTCCAGTCTCTTCCCTATCTCCCCCCATGTGAGTGCACATATCTTGTATCAAATTAAGAAGGGGAAAAAAAAAAAAAAGTCTTATGTATTGGTACTTACATGCAAAGTGCTATTATGTAACACATCTGTAAGTTAAATGCTGATGAATAAGACAATCTCAAAGATTCATCATACTAAAAAAGCTATTATGCAACACAGGACAAACTATCTTACCTATGGAGCATGTCTGGGGCCTGGTTCAACAGTGTGTAATACTGTCTCACAAATTCCCGCCCGACCAGCAGGGGACTAGGCTTCTCCATAACCATCGCTTTGGTCAATTCAACCTGGAACAAAAAAAGTCAAGTGTGTCCAACTGGAAATATCAAACACAAAAATGCTGAATTATTTAGCTGAAATGAACTCAGAGATAAGATCACATCATTAATTGTTGGTGCTAAAAAGGAACATTGTACGAACAAACGAATCTCATACAAACCCGGTGAGGTATGTATACATTTAAATTCATCGTAATCAGATGAATATATATAGGGAAAAATGTCCCTATTAAGAATTCATCACTGAGGGTGAGCAGGTGGTGTGGTGGTTAAGGCATTGCACACTCCCACAGCTGACCACAGTTCAAGTCCCAGATCTGGTGGCTTGCTTTCTCACTTTCTGTTTCTCTCTGGTTAAATTAAAAAGAAATAAATGAATAAATTAAATTAAATAATTATTAATTTTTTTAAAAAAGGATTAATCGGGGCTAGAAGATGGCGTAGCAGTTACATTGCTGGACTCCCACATGGTTGATTGCAGTTTGAGTCCCAGAGCCAGTGGCTTGAAACTCACACCGGGCACATGTGTGTACATACATGCATGCCTGCCCAAGATCCAGGGAGGAGAATGGAGAGGAAGGGATTCTGGCATGGCCATGCCAAAAAGGGAT